CTTTGTTCTAGAGATTTCTAGAGGAAACTGAACTTAATGTCATATTACATCATCAAAAATCCAAAGCTCCTTCTAGCTAACAAATTACAACATTAAAAATATAGCATACAACACTGTCCCCTTCATGAATTGTGAAGTCTCCTAAATCTAATTCAAACAAATAATAATAAAACACCACACCAAGTTATCCATTCACCAAGTCTTTTTGATGGTTTTCTTTTTCAAGACTCATGGTAAATGAATTGGATGGCATCTTGCCCCTTGTTGTTAGTGGCTGTCCTGTTGCAGGGGGAGTTGTTCTTTGAGTGATCAGGTGAATCCACTGGTAGCTCCAATCTTGCTTCTCCTCTAGAAGTAGTCTCAAAAGGAACTCCATACCCCTCAGTAAACTGAGGTTCCACTGACAAGTTCTTTTCTGGAGTAACTTGGTTGGCTGTTCTCTGATCAGTGTACTTCCAAATAAAATCACAATGAACTGCCTTTGGCTTAGATTCCATATCCTTCTGGATTCTATAAACCATGTCATTAATTCTTTTCAGTACAGTGTATAGGATATCTCAGCATTTTCTTAATTTAGAGCTCATTCTATCTTTTAGCAGAGATTGTACTGCCATATACTGTCACCTTGAAATAATCCAATCTTATCAGCATTAACGTCATAGCCATCTTTTGTTTTATCATCAATTGATTTCAGTCTTTTCTTGATGAAGTAATGTTCATATTTATTCTTCACATTTATGAGTTTTCTAATTACCAAATCCTTTGCTTCCACTATGCCCCACTCACAAGATGAAGAATTATTGCTTATAGCTCCTGGTTTAAGTATTTCAATTATTTGTCATGCAAAGGTACTTTACGCTATTTGTTTCAAACTATGCAGCTGTATGATGGGCACCAGCTGTTAGCCGGAGGTTGACCTGTGATAGACCAGCATCCTGTCCATGGAGAATGGGTCATCATTTCCATCTACTTGTACCATTTGAAGCCAGAGTTCAAAAGCACTGGCTGTATGTACCATGGCAAGGATTTAGCTATTAATTAACTTTTAATGTAGGGATTTCCTGGTCATTGACTGTGAAACTATCTTAAGCTGGTTTAACCTTGCATCAGTTTCTCCTCATAAAGTCAGTTCCCAAGATGCACTCTTCCTCAGTGTTAATTACTCGCACACCATTAGATGTAGAGAAGATTCCTATTATAAGGGTAATTTCTAACTTCCCTTTTGCTGAAACTTTTGTCCACCTGCTACTTTTTCTTTCTTCATTTCTGGAGGCAATTTCTCACCTTTCATTGACAAGTTAAGCCAAACAGTTGCAGCACACTACAAGGTTTTCTATTAATAAACCTTCTGGACTCTTGGACAATTTTCCTTAAATAATGAACATTTATTTTTCACTTGCAACAGATGGAATATGCATAGCTACTGATTCTTTACAGTGTATACTGTAATAGAAATACATCCCACAACCACAACTATAATATTTACCTCTTTCTGGTATCCTTTGGGAGGTGCTTTTATTCCATTCAGTCCTTTGCTTGCAGTTCTTGTCAAAATGCTCCTTCAAGTTACACTTGAAACATTTATTGTCTCATGATTTATATCCTCTATTTAATTAGTTGCTTTATTAATTTTTCCAATTCTTCTAGACTATATTAGAAGGGAATTGATTTTTCAATACTACAGGACCTAATAGTTCTGTAACTTCTAGTAGTTCATCTGCAATTTTGATGGCTTCCATTGCCAACTGCAGAACTTCTTTTAGAGATGTACAGCTACTCTGCTTCAGTTTAATTTTCATATCTTTGTCTGCTATGGCATCTATAAATTGGTCATATGCCAAGGAGTCCATCATCTCATGAAAAGTATCTGAGTAAGATAGCTTGGCAAGCCTTTTTTAAGTCTTCTGCAAGTTTTTCTAAGGTTTCTTTCTTCCTTTGTACCATGTTCTGGAACTTTGCTCTTGATACTTCTTTCTGATGCTGCACTCCAAAACCATTTGGACATTGCTTGGTAGTTGTTATAGCTCTCAGCTGGTCGATTATGTAATGTCATCAAAGCTGGTCCACTAAAATGGGCAGCAAGATGGATAGCCATTTTCACAGCTCTATTTATATTTTACCAAATAAATCCCACTTCTGACACCAAATGGTGTAACATAGTTCTTTCTTTGCAGGTTCTTGTAGATTATCACGTGAAAATAATTCAACATTCAGTTCGGTAACAGTCAGAAATTGTTTATTACCTCCTTAACTTTATTCCAAGCTTGAACATTGTTATAACTTCTTGGCTCAATTTTACAGCTATGCTAACTGTATTACACAACATAAAAAAAAAGATTAAATTACTTGTACAATGAAGCATGATAACAAACAATGACAACTCTATTTTGAAGTAACTTTTATCTGAACTAACTCTACTCTTAATGAAGCTTTATTGACATGTTTATATAACTAAGCTTTATTCTGGAGAGTTCTAGGACTAACATGAACTTCACATTACATCAACACAAACCCACAGCTCCCTCTAGATAATAAAAAAATTATGACATTAAAGATGTAACTTACAATAAACATTTAGTTGCAGTGTTAAAACATAAATTCAGTGTAGATTACGTGAATGTACTCCTGGATTTATCTGTGAAGTCAGTTTTGAACTTACTTATTTATTCAGATTTCATTTAACTTGAATCAAAAAGATGAAGGTGGACATCATTTCTGTGCTGCTTGGTACAAACAAGAACAAGGGAAAAGTTGTCGTGAAATCGATAGGCACTAGCTAGTTTACTCACTCTATGCATTGTTTGCTTGCTGGGTTTTTGCAAATCGGTTGGATGCACATTTCTCAACGGCTTGGAGTGATCCAAAAACTGGTTGCGAGATTTTTGTTAAATGTCTGTACAAAATTGAAAAACATGAAAAAAATGGAAGTCACAAAAAGCAGAGAAAGAAATTTTCTTTACCAAATTCCATTTGTTCAACAATAGAACTATAATGTCTGGTCTTGTAAAGGAGGAAAGAAAAGAGGTGGAAAAAATATGATGATTCTAAAACGTACTATAGATGCAGTTCTCTTTTTGGGAAAACAGGGTTTTGTGTTCTGTGGTCATCACGAGTATCGAGGTTTAGATTCCCCAAGTACAAATGGAAGTAATTTTCTGGATCTTATTAAGCTGTTGGCTAAAAATTATACATTAATGGAGCAACACTTATTATTGAGCTATTGAAATGCAAAATATCTCAGCCCTGTAATACAAAATGATCTGATACATTCCTTATCAGCCCAGATTTTTTATGATATGTAACAGTAAATGGTGATGCAGTGGAATGATTTATACAATTTAGCAAATTACCTGGAGCAACTGCTGAAGAGTTTTCAATGTTCTTCTTTCAGCAATCAAAAACTTGGGGCTGTCAATATTTATGTGTTACAGTCAGTTTTATGATGGAGAAAGCACCACATCAGGTGAAATATCAGGTCTCCAAACAAGGATTAGGGAAGTTGATCCAAACACACTCTTTATGCACTGCTGTGTGCATAATTTTAATTTCAAATTCGGTTGTTTTTTGGAACTCTAGAAGGTCTCTATACCTTTATTTCTGGCAGTTTACCTCATCTTTTAATACTAGAAGAACAACACGGTTATATCAAATTTTTTGCATTGACTCTAAAGAAAATCAACAGTAGAGGCAGTCTTGCAGAATTTACCAGCATTAGTAGTTTCCCTGCAAAGAATTGTGGATGGTGAGATAAAAACTGTGCTCCTAAACACCTCGCTGAGGCAAAGGGTATTCTGGTAACACTTGATACTTACAAATTCTTATTTCCTGGAGTAAAATAGTAGAGAAGGCTTTTAATTTATCCACATATTTATAGAAAAGTAGTGTAGATCTGGTAATGGTTTCTCATTTGATTCAGATTTTTGAAAATGAAATGATAAACATGCGAAATGACTCTGAATCTGAATTGAAACAGATTGATATCCAAAGTAATGTATCGTCCTTTACGGTTATTTATTTTCAAGACAATAATTACAAATTTTTGAATAAACAAAAAAGATTAGAATCTAAAATCAATCCTGGAAGTATATAATTTTGATTTGTTCATACTCCAAACACAGGGTATCAAGAGATATCTTGCATATGTCCATTTGGAGCTTGTAATGAAATTTGTTTTTTGAGCATATGATCTCCTTTATGCATATATCTAGTGTAGATACTCAAATTATGCCATTTTGTTATATCGTTATACACAACAGCCAAGACATTTGTTGTTATCAGTAACTGAAAGGGTAAGAGTAAATTGCATTCTTCAATAAAAGTCACTGAACATGAAATTATGTGAACTCCTTTACGTGTTCTCCTTTTCTTCAGTTTTGCTTCAGAGGGGCATATATAGAGTGCATAATGCTTTTCCTGCTATATTTAGTTTCCACCATGTGCAGATGATTAAAGTAGGGTGGATTTGAAATGTATTAGTCACAAATCAACCCATTTTCCTGCAAGAAAAGTCCTTGAAAGTGGGATTATATAACAGGTGTGTATCTCTTTAACTGTATAACTAACATTCAAATGGTGTGAGAGGTGGTGATTTTAGGTTTAAATGACTGATAAATTATAAAGCTAAATCTGTGAGCAATAATTAGGGGTCTGTTTATAAAAACAGATAATTGAGGACATGGTGATATGCATGTAAAGGAGTTCACAGAATGGGTGAAGGAGATCACTATTTTAATTCTACTCCTTATATATGCTTTGCTCTTTGTATAATGTCACATTATTAATAAAAGCTTACATTTATGATCTGTGGAAATAGTCTAATACAAAATAAGTATTCTTATTAGCCTGCTATAGCTCTATTTACTCAAGTATAATATACAGAGGTGGTATGCATTCCAGTTATGGGTTTTATATTTGTATCTTTAGAAATATTATCACAGAAAAAAGGCAGCAGAAGGGAAACCCTTCTTACAGTTTGTTTGCTTTTTTCATTTTTATTTTAGGTACAATATAATTTGGTAAAGAAGAACACATGTGAAAAACAGTAATCATCTTCATCAAGGTGGAAAAATATGAAAGAATGTTGCCCAAGTGCCAGATTTTTGGTACAAGGTTTTTTAGTAGTTATAGTTTTAAGAACTATATAAATCATACTTATTGGAGAATATTTTTTTTCAACATTTTCCAGTTGAAAAATGTACACTTAAGAAAGCCTGACCCATATTGAACAAAAAATTTCAAATAAGTTCAGCCATTCCAGTTTCAGAAGATTGGTAAGTCTGTTACTCCCTCCACCATCCAACTCAATGCAGAAGGACCACAGTCGCCAATAATACTCTAATCTTTGCAATTATACCATATGTCATGCAACAACTGACATTTGGACTGGGTGCTCCATAATGGCTAAATTACTATCAGTACAACTTCACTGCTGATATTCACCAAAGCTTTGGTTTATCTCACAAAAATTAATTTGTTACAATTCATCATTATGTCACTGTAACTCAGCAGCATCTGTAACAATTAATATGCTCATAAAGCAAAATTTCACTAGATAATGAAGCAACCTCTAAGACTAAGCTGATTCTAGTTACTACTTCATATCCACTGTTCTACCTTATAATTTATACTTTATTCTGTCTACATCTCTACTTATTTGTTACTGCAAGCAACCTATTTATCCATTACTGTTAGAATAACTTGATTTCACCATTCTATAACTAGTTCAGAATGTATTCATAATAGGGTATATTCTTGTAATGCTTACATGTTTGTAGGTGTTTATGCATGTTAACCAGATGTAGAAAGGTAATGTTACGTATCTGCTTGTTTGATAATTTCCAGTATAAATTCTTTCCGAGGAACTTCAGCGATACAAGTCCTTTCTTGATGAAACCAGTTTATTCTTCCTCGATACAGACTTTTAGCACACAGTAATTTCACAATCAGTACGTTTCTCGTCACTTCAAACTTAACTACTTTTATAATGCATGCTATAAATCACATTGATTCACAACCTTGATAACTTTGCTCGAAACGTACCGTGACTACTGTTTGCTTTATCATACATTCATCTCCCCAGGCTTTCTCTGCCAGGATTATATACTAAAAAAGAGGGCATTTCGAACAAACTCGGGCTTACCCAATAATTCATAATCATTCGAGAAATTTGTCATGTGTTATCAGCCTCATGTGACTTCTGTTGTCGTAACACTGCCCCTTCCTTAGTATTGTTCATCCCGAACAATAGCCACTTACATTAAACTAATAGATAATTAACAATAACTTAATTAGATGTATAGAAGTTACAAACACAAAATTAAAATACAACAAAGTCTCTTAATTTTATAGGATGTTTCTTCTTTTGTACTGGTCTCTGTCTTATTGGCTTCTGCTTTACTTGGGATTCATCTGCTCCATCAGGAAATGTCCCATTATCGGTAGCAGTCACTTCAGTGGTAGGAACTTCATTAAAGGCTTCACTGTTTTCCTTTTCAAAATCAGGTAGAGTTTCTTCCTCAACAGTGGCTTTTTCAGGTGACACATCTTCAGCAGTGTCATTTGTTCTGTTGATCATTTCGTTCCAGCTGAAATGTCCTGGAACATGATAACGCAAAAGCCTGTTGGATGCACCACCTTTGGCTTACCTCACTGACCACATTTGAGAGACAATCCACTATGTTATATGGGCCTTCCCATGGAGAAGACAACTTAGGAGAATTGGTCTTTCTGGGATTATACAACCACACCTTGTCTTCTGGTACAAAGCTGACTTCAGTAGATTTCTTATCATAACATAGCTTCATAGAATCAGCAGACGTTTTTAAGTTTAAATGCACTTGATGGTGAATATCATCCATCCTTTTCGATAACACTTTCACAAACTCTGACACATTTTCAGGCAACTCTTCATAAGGTGGGCGTTCTGTTATCAGGTCCACTGGCAACCAAAGTTCCCGACCAAACATCAGCTTTGCTTGAGTGTATCCAGTGGCTTTATGCTCTGCTGTTCTATAGGCCATCAACAGCAGAGGGAGTAAGACATCCCAGTCATCTTGGCGGCTACTACAAAACTTTGCCAATTCCAGTCTCAGTGTCCAATTGTACTTTTCTACCATCCCATCAGACTGTGGGTGAAGTGGCATTGTCCTGGTCTTTCGGGATGCCAAACAACTTGCAGCATTCTTGGAACACGGCCGATTCAAAGTTACGGCTTTGAGCTGAATGCAGTTTGTATGGCATACCAAACCTGAAGAAGAAATCACTAATAGCCGAAGCTACAGTTGTAGCTTCTTGATTTGGTATTGTATATGCCTCAGGCCACTTGGTGAAATAATCCATCACTATACAAATATACCTGTTTCCAGCACGAGTTTGGGGCAAAGGACCAGCAATGTCAATGGCTACTCTTTCCATTGGTGTGCCAACTTGATATAACTTCATTGGAGCACGTCCCTTATGCTTGGTCCCTTTTAGCACAACATGTACTGTAGGTCCTGAACCATTCTTCCACATCTTGCCTCATACCTATCCAGTAAAATCTTTGCCGTAGGTGACTCAATGTCTTCTTAACTCCTAGATGTCCTCCTGTTAAACTATCATGTGATTGACGCAGCACAACTTCCCGTAACTTTCTCGGTGTAACTGTTTGCCAGGTCGTCACTTTCCCATCTGCGGACAAGAATACCATCTTCAAGCCTCAACTGGTCTCATTGTGCCCAATAGTTTTTTGTTACAGGGCGTAAGCTAGACACCTTCTCCTAAGCAGGGCACAAAACACTTGCTTTTAGAAAATCAATTATTTGCTTCAAATTTGGTCTTTCTCCTGTTCTGCTTTAATAGCTATACCTGGTTCCACTTCACCATCATCAACTCCTTCAGTCACTTTGAGTTCAGCTTGATGACACCTGGTTAGTTCAACCTCCCTTTTAACACTTACCGGAATTCGCCCTGTGTTGTTCTCAACCGTCATTTTATCGAACTCAACTACAAACTTCCTCGGTAGTAAGTAGTCCAATCCTAATATGCATTGGTCTTCAATGCCAGCCAAGTATACTTTGTGTCTGTCCTTTATGCCCATGAGCTCAATAGTTTCCCAAACTGGTCCCCACAACCTTGCATAATGTCCTGTCACACCACAGAGCTTCTGTATGGCTTCTGGTACTCCTTTGTGATATAGTACCTTGATACTCACAAGGGTTTGCTGAGATGCAGAATCTATGACAAAGTTGCACGTTTGGCCATCCAGATTTCCTGTCACGTAGACACTATATGTACTTGCCATTTTACACTTAGCTGTTGGGATTTTTACGATGGGGTTGGTGGGCGTCCCTCAACACCAACCACTACTGGTTTCCCAGAGGCTGACTTAATGGTGGTATTCTTCTGTGGAAATTAAGTGTATTGTAAAGTTGTATTGAGAAAGAATAAACTAGTTTTATTTAAGAAAGGACTTGTATCACTGAAGTTCTTCGGAAAGAATTTTTACGGGAAATTAACAAACGACCACTTAATTTCCTCAGTCACTTTAACTTCAACACACGCTATAATTCAGAACGATTCACGCACCTTACTTACAACTTGACTCGATCATCTGTCTCAATATCTCTCCATCTGCAATTCATTTGCCGTGCTTATATACTAAAAAATAGAAGGCGCCTGGAGAAGACTAGAGTTGCTAGGAAAAGTCAAGATCCTTCGAGAATATCATGACGTGTTACTAGCGTCACGTGACTTCCGCTGTCTTAACAATATTTATAAATCTGCTAAGATGTTTTATGGAATGATGAAGTTCCAAAACTAAATATATTCAGCATAGGGTATAGATATTTATGGTATTGGGTACAGCTT